GTAAAGAAAATACAAATGTATCTCAAGATGTAAGTGAAGAAACCATGCATTTTAAACTAACAGGTTGTAAACTACCTGGGGTTGTTGTTGCCGAAGTTGTCAAGGGAATCTCCAATGTGGATCTCGGCTCCATTGAGTCGGTCCGAGTCTTCCACTCGGGTGGTTATCTTGACAGAAAACACTTTGTGGGTTTTGCGCAGATCCAGTCGCCACCAGGGGTTGATGTCGTTCATTGTGTGAGTGCAGGAGCCGTGCTCCCACTTGCTGCTAGGATTCCCATCTATGGCGTTATATGCAGGGCCAAACTCATACAGTGACGACTGTGAGGCTTTTCCTCCGAGGGCCAGGTTCTCTCCTGCAAAAGAAAATGCACATACATGTGTGACTTCTGATGCTGTTTTTGTTTTTCTTGCAATGTTCAATTTAATATCTCCAATGACTCATCAAGAAAATGTGAATGAATTTGCCGACATAATATAGGACAAAAACAGATGACCCCCTTCACAGACCCCCTTGGTGTCCCTGGCCCAGACCCTCCCTCCCCCTCCCCATTCCCTGCCTTTGGTCCCAACTCCCTCTCAACCACTTCCCCTTCCCCCCACACTTCCCCTGGCCACCTGAGAGACTTTGTTTTGCAAAGAACTTTGAGGTGTGGGGGGGGGGGGGGGGGGGGGGGGGGGTAGTGTAACGGACTGGGTGACTTGTAATGTTAACCTGTCATGTTATGTTATAACAGGTTGACAGAAGTTGTTTGAGATAAGAGTAATGGTTATTGCATTTACTGAGTTCAGGAGGTCAGTGAAGGTCTCATGACACGTGTAGCTGTTGAACCTGTCAATCATCCTAGCTACCTATGGGGATGGGTGGCACAAGTGAGGGTACCTGGGATTGGCAGAGAGAGTGAGGTGGGATGTTTTTGCTGTTGTCCTGCTAGCTTGTGTAGAGTTCGTCTATGACCGGGAGCGCTTTGTCGAGCATGTTAAGAGAACGTGTAGCAGTGTTGACTGTTGTTTGGCGTAGGCTGCGGCCCACAGTAGCGTGCATAAAGTGCAACAAGCAAGATAACATCTCGTAGCTTTCCTTATCGAGGGTCGCTACAATATGATTATTTTTAATGCAAATGTAGTATAAGCATACAATGTGAATAACATTAATAATATAAAAACAGTTTTCATATTTTATGTTTTATCTACTGGCTGACACCACAGTTTATAGATGCGATGTCACTGCATACTAATTCATGTAATAGCTCAAATGCTCACCAGTCGGGGCCCGGTACCCGTAGACTTCCACTTCACAGAGTGTGAGGTATTTCTGTGAACCCGGTACAACCACAGTCACGTAACGTCCCTCCACACGTTCAGTGAAAGTCAGAGTAACTGATTCGCCTGGATCCGTTCTAGTAATTTTACCAGCCCTAACAGAGAGAGGGAGAGAAAACAACACATGAATCACATTTTATAATACCTGTAGTCCTTTAACATGAAGATGAAAGAAACAAGCTTGTTTCATTCTTGAAAGTTGAATTCTCCTCACATATTAGCATAATGATACTTAGAAAAATAATTAACATTTATATACTGTACATATTTGTGGAAATAACATCTGACGGTGCCACATATCTATCGCCTCCACATGGCGACAGCTGAGCCTGCAGCTTGCAGCTAACAGCGCAAACAGTGTTTACGCGAGGGGGAACCGGAAAGTGGGCGCTACACTGCCGCGTTACCATGAACCAGCCAGTGGGGGCACGCTCACATGCACTAACATGAACATGCACGAAAAGCATGCAAAACCAGCCCGGCCATCAGGGGCGTCGTTAGGCCTATTTTAGGGGGGCTGAAGCCCCCCTCAAATGTTCTTTAGCCCCCCCAAATAATTTGGCATTATTGGCTTTAAAAAAAAAAGAAAAATAAATATTTTTATTTTGGTGATGTCATTAAACTATTGTTTCTCACATGGACAAGTTATTTATAGCTCTAACATGCTACATATGTGCGTGCGTTCTGGTTTGTATGTTTTCTCCCCCTTCAAATTACAATCCAACAGCCTGTCATCATACTTAACGACATAAAGTTGACACTGTCAGGTCCATTCTCCATCCATTGTGTGCGGTCCCTTTAAGAATTAGGATTTGGGAGTGACGCGGATATTCTTTATTTGAGAAAAGTTCATATTTGTGTTGTCAAATTTCACTGTGACCCTCAAATTCTGTCTCTTGTGTTATCATATACTGAATGCAAGCAAAACTACAGAGCAAAATCACACTCTCTCTGATTGAACCAATCTATGAACTGTCTGAAACAATGGATATCCGCGGCCCCAAATGGGCCCCAAAAAAAATTGCCCCGCACTCCGCGTGCAAACATGCCACTCCCCTTGGGGCTAAGCCCCCCCTTTCTTTGAATCCTAGAAACGCCCCTGCCAGCCATGTCAACAAAGAGATTGAAACATTCTTCAAATGTTCCTACCGGAGGTTAAAATTAGCATGATTCACAGACGTACTTACAAGACAAAAGGCAAAATAAAAGTTTTTTTTGATTGTGGATATATTTTCTTACACTGGGTTTGCGGCACCGTTGTTCTCTAAAGAGTTGCCGATGTGAATCTTTGCCCCGTTGAGCCTGTTCTCGCAGCAGTCTACTCTGTTGGAGATGATGACGGAGGTGACGATGTAGGACTCCAGCAGGTCCACTCTCCACCAGGGGTTGGTCTCTTGGTCAGTGTGGCTGCATGATCCCGAAGCGTAAATACCCTCACGGTTTCCATCAATAGCATTGTAAGCAGCTCCAAACGAGTCCTGCCAACGGTCTGACTGGGTCGCCTTTCCACGCAACGCCACGTTCTCTGGGAGAGAGACGGTTGAAAAACACATAAGAGATATGAAGGAAGATCGTTTGTGAATTGTTAAGCATAAATCTGTGTCTAACAATGTATTACTCCATGTCTTAGTGTGATACAGACCATGTGTTTCAACATTATATACTCTTGGTTTAAACTTAAACCATTAGCTCACTGTTATGTAGTCAACTATAGTGCGTTTGTGTATTTGGTAGTGTTTGCATGTGTTGCCAAATTGATGAATTTGTTTCTCTGTGATTAATTGTTGTGGAATTGGTGGAAAGATGTGTTGATTTGTTTGTGTCTCTTTGCATGCGTTTCCTTAAGTCTGATGAGCCACATGGCAACTTTTTGCTCATTGCTAAATCCTGCAGGAAGTTGTTGCAGACAAGTTTGCAGAAAAGAGGACGTTGGTCTGCCAATGCAGTTTAATGTGAGGAGGGAAATTCATTTTTATGAAGAACACAAGTACGATTTCAAAAACATAAAAACTATATAAAAAACTAAAATTAAGCCAAAAAAATTCTTGCTTCCTTTCACCACAACTCCAATGATTTTGGAGAAATAACTAAACTCCCGACAGTTAAAGAGTTAATTTTTATAAATATACTAGTTACTTTTCTTGCTTACAAAACAGACCTACGTGCACCTCCTGGTGATGATTGACAATAAAGACGTCACACATACTCTCAGATCATACTCACCATAAGTGTAAGCTGAGCGTGTCTCCAGGAGGAGCAGGAGAACCAAAACGCTGAGTTTCATTATTCTGGTTGAGAGAATCATTTATAAACCATATTTATTTTAAATGACACGTCTTATTATTCATTATTACTTGTGTAATATGTGTCCTATTGGAATTCTGGAGGAGTGATTACAACAATAATCTTGAATGTGTTACATTTCAACAATAAGATTAGATAGAACTTCATCCAGAGGGAAACTCATTCATATTCAGTTACATTTCACAATTATGGTTAAAACCATTACAACTATTATTTGCTTCCATGTGCTCCAGAGGTACATATCGACATGCTAAAGATACTCTGAAACTGATGCAGGAAGATGATCTGATGCATAAAGAAATGAAAAGTGTTACCTGGAGTCCCCAACAGTCGGATGATTCAACGAAGAAGACAAAAGCTTCCAAACACCTAAAACCGAAACAGTTCCCGTGCTCTTTCT